AAGTTTATATTTACCCACCTGATGGATATTGTACAGAGAATAATAAAGTGTGCAAACTACAAAAAGCTCTTTATGGATTGCGAGAAAGCCCACGTGATTGGTATGAATGCTTTCACGAATTCATGTCAAGCATTAATTTCAATAGGTCAGACTATGACTATTGTTTGTATACAGGGTGTGTAAATAATGTAAATATATATCTATGTCTGTATGTGGATGATATTTTGATTTGTGGGGAGAAAAATGAGGTAATTGACGAAGTTAAAAGGCTATTGAACAATAGATTCCGAATGAAAGATCTGGGCAAAGTAAAACAGTATATTGGAATAGATGTAGTTTTTGAACCAAAAGAAGGCAGAATGACTTTAAACCAGGAAAAATACATTGTAAGTTTAGCTGAAAAGTATAACGTAATCGAATCAAAGAACTTTGAGACACCAATGGAAATGAATTTAAGCATTGATCCAAGTCAAGATGTCAGTGCAATGTTAAAGTATAGAAACTTGATTGGAGCTCTTCTGTATGTTGCGAGTGGAACACGGCCAGACGTATTTATAGCGTTAACTATTTGAGTCGTTTCCAAAATGCTTATAGTGATACTCATTTCAAATATGCCTTGCGAGTTCTCAAATATCTTTACTGTACGAGACATTTAAAGATGAATTATGACGCCGACTACGAAGAACAATTGGACGCTTATGTAGATGCTGATTGGGCCGCAGATAAATCGGATAGGAAGTCGACGACAGGAATCCTTATAAGAGTTTTTAATAATCCGATCATGTGGAAGTCACATAAACAGAAAATAGTGTCAAGAGCATCAACTCATGCCGAGTATTATGCTTTGGCAGACTGTGTTGAAGAAGTACTTCCGTTAATAGGTGTGTTATGCGATTTAGACGTTGAGATTAGGGATCCAGTAAAAATTTACGAAGACAACAGCGGGGCTATTGCGTTGTCAAAGAACGGAAAGTTTTGTAAAAATCCTAAGCATATTGACATAAGCTACCACTTCGTATATGACTATGAGAAAAAGGGTATTATTAATATAGTAAAGGTTCATACAGAAAAACAATTAGCGGATATATTGACCAAGGCATTAGGAAAAAATAAATTTATAAAACTTAGAGAACTGGCAAATGTCAAATGAAATGTTAATGACAGATAGTCTTTTGTTAAGTGATTTATTTATTATGTTAAGTTGTTATATTGGTATTAAGTTGTTTTTGTTGTTTTCTATAAAATCAAGGAGGTGTGTTGAAGTTATGATTTTATGTAAAACCTTCTTGTTAGCGCGACTCGATGGCCTGTTCTCTATGTCACCGTTACTTCATTCTAGGACTTTGCTAAATACGTCAACGGTCTATACCTATAATAAAATGTAATGTGATTGGGACTACATAAACTAAATATTACGAGCTGATTGTCTTTCCTTTCTACGATCCACTTCCTCAACAAGTACGAAACAAATAATTTTAGCGCTTAGTTAATAAAAGATAAAGTTATTAGATTTATAAAAAGATTATAACTTAGATTGATTTAATCTAAGGATAATAATTCAAATACAGATTATTTATTATTCGGACCAGCGCGTGTCGGCGCTTATCGGCGCCGATCGGCGCCGGTCCATAGAAAAAGGAACAGCGTCAATAGGCGCCGATCGGCTTTCGGCTTTCTTTCTGTATATGGCCAACTGGCCAATTTTTTAACGTAGTCACTGTGCAAGCGGCGTTCAGAGCGGGTGTGTGCGTTGACTTGTCTTTTGAGAAAAAGATGGAGCAACATGACGACAATATTGTGTCTACTCGATCTGAACGGGAAGTAATGGAGGAGATTTTAATATATGTAAAGACTTGCCATGCCTTTTTGGGATGTGTCTAACCCATTATATAAAAATAAACAAGCAAGGCATAATTCCTTAGAGATTTTGCGGAATAAGTGGAAAAATATTGATAAAAATATTACTGTTATAATAGGCTAGTTGACTCATGTCGAATTGTATTAAATAAATGTTTATTTCTTAAAGTATTTGGTCTAAGGAACCTAAATATATCGATTTCACTTCATAAAAGCAGAAGATTGCTGTAGAAATTTAATTTTAAAAAATATTTTTTGGTCTATATTTTTTAAACACTAAAAACGCTATTCGCCACATCCGCCATGATTGTGACGTCTCATATGGTAAACAACTAAATGTCATTCGCGTGTTACTGTGGGTGGATTCTTTCATCTGACTTAATTTATCCTAAAACACTTTTAACTTTAGAAAAGTTTCCGTTTACTGTTTTTTTTTGAAAAAACTAATTATGGATGCCGGCTTTGTGAAAACAGAAAGCACAAATCTGCCAAGAATTGACGCATTCATGGTTGGTGAATTTATTTCACTAAACCCCGATTTCTGCTCTGCGGAGCAGAGAAACGACAAGGTATCTATGTAAGTACAGTGTATTTAGTATTACAATGTAGTAATAAACATAAAACTGATACAACATATGAATAAGTGTAATAAAGTTGCGTAGGTTAATTTCTTTCGGCACTTTTAATTCACAACTTTCCTGGAATCTTCAAGGATGTGTTTTTATATTCTCGTACAATACAATAATGATAATTACTTTATTTTTCGGGGTATTTATTAGAAATCATCTTTTGTTTATTATAAAGTCAGTTATTTTCTTACGAGTTTTTGTTTATTTACCTTTCTCTATGTGTTTACTGCAGTTAACGTCATAGCATAGATAATCTATAGACTAAAATGGCCGATAGCGTTTTTGTATGTCCATGAAAAATCTATTTTAAAATTAAAGATTTGTAGCTTTTTAGGTCTCAAAAAAATACAATACATTTTTTTTCGGTCTAATAGAACATTTATTAACCATTTAAAACCTTTTTCCAAAAAGGGTCAACTAGCCTATTCTTATTATTTTTAAAGCATGTAACTGCTTGATGTTTAAATCTAAAGAAAATATAACTAGAAAAAAATCCACGCGGACCAGGCAGTTATTTGTTATTGAAAATAAAAAATCATTTAATTAAATTTATATTCTACTCAATGATATGCGCGCATGCTGGGGTAAAAAAGAAATAATATTATATATATTTTTTTATAATTTTTATTTTTTAAGCATGTAATTGCTTGATGTTTAAATCTAATGAAAATATAACTAGAAAAAAATCCACGCGGACTATGTAGCAGACGGGACTCGAACCCGCACCCTTCGCAATCCGGACGAATGCACTGACCAATTATGCTACCGCGGCCCTCACGGACCGCATCGAAATTCTTCCAGCCATTCTTAAGTTGCAAGGCAGCGCCATCTCTTCGCATCATAGGTAACCCACAATGTCAAGTGAATACTTTTACAAGTATTTAACATTTGAAAGAAGAAATAACAATTATAGTTATAGTTTTAATTTTTTTAAAGAATGTAACTGCTTGATGTTTAAATCTAAAGAAAATATAACTCAGTTATATTTTAAAGGGTTTTCGAAGGGTGCGGGTTCGAGTCCCGTCTGCTGCCTGGTCCGCGTGGAATTTTTTCTAGTTATATTTTCTTTAAAAATATTACTCTTTAAGTATAACTATATTTAAGTTTATTAATTGAGTTACTTAAATATAATATAACTACATTTAAGTGCCTCAATTGTTTTCTTTTTAATAACCATTGTTTTGTCCAGTCTTCTTTTTCTTTTTTTCTCATCTACATTTGTAGTTAGAGCCAAGGTTAATCCAATTTTTTGCTTCTTGGTAAGAGGCATCCTACCTAATACAAACAAGTCCGTTCAGCAGAGGCAACAAATAAAACTGAAATTGGCGATCTTGTTGTGTATGTGTAGACGGACGACCAGATTGTACCCAATAGGCTAGTTGACCCTTTTTGGAATAAGGTTTTAAATGGTTAATAAATGTTCTATTAGACCGAAAAAAAATGTATTGTATTTTTTAGAGACCTAGAAAGCTACAAATCTTTAATTTTAAAATAGAATTTTCATGGACATACAAAAACGCTGTCGGCCATTTTAGTCTATAGATTGTCTATGCTATGATGTCAACTGTAGTAAACAAAAACTCGTAAGCACGTAGAAAATAACTTATCTGAGTTTATAATAAAAAGAACATGATTTCTAATAAATACCACGAAAAATAAAGTAATTATCATTATTGTATTGTACGAGAATATAAAAACACATACTTGAAGACTCCAGGAATGTTGTGGATTAAAGTGCCGAAAGAAATTAACCTACGCAACTTTATTACACTTAATTCATATGTTGTATCAGTTTTATGTTTATTACTACATTGTAATACTAAATGCACTTTACTTACATAGATGCCTTGTCGTTTCTCTGCTCCGCAGAGCAGAAATCGGGGTTCAGTGCAAAAAATTCACCAACCATCAATGCGTCAATTCTTGGCAGATTTGTGCTTTCTGCTTTCATAAAACCGGCATCCATAATTAGTTTTGTCAAAAAAAAAAAGTAAACGGAAACTTTTCTAAAGTTAAAAGTGTTTTAAGAAAAATTTATTCAGACTAAAGAATCCACCCATAACAACACGCGAATGACATTGAGTTGTTTACTGAAAGAGACGTCACAATCATGGCGGATGTAGCGAACAGCGTTTTTAGTGTTTAAAAAATATAGACTAAAAATATTTTTTTAAATTAAATTTCTACAGCAATCTTCTGCTTTTATGAAGTGAAATCGATATATTTAGGTTCCTTAGACCAAATACTGTAAGAAATAAACATTTATTTAATACAATTCGACATGAGTCAACTAGCCTATTCAATCGGCAATCAAATTGTGTCGTGTGGAAGGGGTTTAACGCTGCCCTACATTAATCTGTGATCGTAACCATGACGATGGATGGTGACTTGATGAGTAGTAGGAAATTCTTGGTCCATGTCCATGATGATGTGATGAAAGTTCTTGAGTGATTTTGAAAAGAGAAATTATAAACTTTGAAATAATAATACTGGTGTTGTATGTATACTTTTATAATGTCTGGACAAGATTCTGAACACTTTAGAGCTTTCCTAAATCAATTACAAAGGGAAGAACATAGACCGGTTGCTTTGAATGAATTGAAAAATTTGTTAGTTTTAAAACCAGCAGGTGAAGCCAGAAGCACTATAAGAGATGCAGGAATTTCTAAGATTGTTCAATGTTTAAATGCGTCAGAAAAGTATGAATCTAATTGATATCTATTTTACAAAGCAATAAACTTTAATTATGTCACACTGTTTTGAACATTTTGCTTACAGAATTCTTTTAGATTTGGCATGTGAAGTTTTAAAAATATGTTTTGAAAAATTCCCGCCAGGTGAAATCGTTACAAATTACACTGGGCATGTTATGTATTTGCTGAGACATGAAAAAAGTTGTGTACGTAAACTAGCAATTGAAGAGGTATGTTTTTCTCAATTTTTTCGTAACAATTTTAGACTAGTCACCAATTTAGTTATCCTTTTTGGTTACACTAATAAATAAAAGAATCAAGAGACCAATTTGCCTTGTTTTGAGCAATTACATATTTTATTATAATTTGTGCTTGTTCAGTTTGTAAGTTTTACTAGATTCTGCTGTAGTAAATCTCTAGTTGTTGCCATTGTATATAATGTTTATTTATTAACAATCAGTATAATAAAATGAGTTTGTTTATTACACTTTCACCTTTAAGCTTCTGGATAATTTATGATGAATTTTAGCATAAGGATAGATGAGGCCCTAAAAAAAGTTGTAGCCAATTTTGGCCTTGGAAAAATAATTCATCATCATCATCATCATCATCAGCCTATCAATGTCCCCACTGCTGGAGTACAGGCCTTCCCTATGGATGGAATAGGGAGATTGGGCCATGACTCACCACTCGGACCCAGTGCGGATTCGTGGGTGATAGCGACTGCAGATGCAGCCGTGACCGATGGCTAATGTGCTTTCCGAAGCATGGAGGAGCTCAAGATCGTAAATTTTTGGTCACCCATCCAATGACTGACCACTGCGAAAGTTGGTTAACTTTAACTATCACAGCCGAACGCGCTAACCACTTGCGCCATCGAGCTCCTCTAAGGAAAAATACTTGTAGAATGTATATTAGGAGGTTCAAGTTTGTATAAAAACAACTACAGGGGATTCATGGGCACATGCTAATACTACTAGTATTAACAGGTGTACGAATAATATATGCTGCCATTTTTTCAGGTACACAAAGCAGTTAAACAGGATATAAATCTTTTACCTGTTCCTCAATACATTGATGTGTTTGTAGCTATTGCTCAACTTGTGGGTGACCCAGACATTGGTGTCGCAAATAAAGCAATACATATCACTTCTAATCTACTACCTGAAGCTTACCAAAAAGTACTTGAAGAAATGAAGATTATTTTAGAATATTCTGGTAGTAGCAAGTGTAATGCTTATGAGGTAATAAATATTGTTGATATTAAAATGATGTTACCCTTTAGTTTTATGTGAGTAAAATAATGTTGATGACTTGGTGCTGTTTGATGCCAACATTATTAATTTTTGCTTACATTTGATATCCAGATAGTGCTGTTATCACTGTATTGCAATATATTTTAAAAATCAGGTGTTGTCATTATTACATAATTTTGTTTAATTTGATATATTTTCTTATAATATTTTATATTATAGGTAATCATCGAAATTTCTACAAAGTCTTATGAATTATTCCAACTAAGTGTTGGTTATGGGTACATTGACCAAATAATAACAGATCTTACAACAAATGATGTACTTTTGCAACTAAATTTAATAGAGTTGTTAGCAAGATTGGCTATAAAGCCCCATGGAATAAATTACCTTGTTAAGCAAGGGGTCCTTAAGAAAATCACAGATTTTGCCATAGACCTACCAAATAATCCTTGTGGGGGATTGTTGGTCCCTGGTATGTAAAATTGCGTATGATTTATTCAAAAAATTATATTATGTATTAAATTAATTTATGAATGTCTATTTTAGGTTACTTGAAGTTCTTTGGGTGCATTGCTCATTTTTACCCCAGAGATATATTTGAAAAATATCCTGAACTGGTTGAATTGCTCTTTGATACTTTAGAGAATGGTGATCAAACTGTTCTGCCTGTTGCTTTAGACACGTTTGGTTTCATTGGTCGCACAGTCGAAGGAAAATTATGTTTAGCTGCTTTTGGTATGTATAATATCCTAAGGCCTCAATTTTGTATTTCAGGACATAAATGAGAAATTGTAATGGCAAAAAATATACACTGACTATAAAATCCTATTTTAAATTATATTAGTTCTTTATATGACTAAGTTGTTTAATTGTATTGATTAAACTATCATTTTTGCAGGGAGCAAATATACTCAAGCTGTAGATGGCCTAAGTCAATTAATAAAAAGCAGCACCACAGATATAAAAGTCCGTGCTTTAAATTGTTTTGCAAATTTAATAAGTGTTGAATCTGACCCTAATTCACAATCAAATAGCCCTGTAGATCACAGAGTAACACTAATGACAAGGGAATGGTTTCGAAGTCTTAGTTATCGCCCAAATTCAATGGAATATTTATTTGACATGTGCAAAAATCCATTCCCTGATATAAGATTGGGTGCTTTTGCTTTACTTGATGCTGTTTGCCAACATAGATGGGGTGAAGAGTTGGTTGCTACTACTGCAGGTAAAACAATATTATGCTTATGAAGAAAACTTATTCTTTATTTGAACTTGTAAAACCAACTTCAAAAATCACAAAAAAAAGATTATAATTCTTATCCCTCACTCATATCTAAATAACATTTAAAGTAATGTTAACAATATTTTGGAGTTGCTGACAGGACAGCTATCCTGATAGTTAACAGCAACTCTATGTTGGCATAGAATTATCCCTTAAATGATACCTGTAGGCCTATTCCCTATCATCTATACTTTTCATGACAAGTATGTTAGCAGTGTTAGAATAGAGCTGTAGTGGATCACTAAATAGCTCGATGATCATCACTTCCTCTGGTCAAAAACAGTTAGCGAATAGGCCTACTGAACCTTTTCGATAAGCTTGATTCTTTGGCTTTGCGTAGAGATGTATTTCGCTCTGCATCGCATTTATCACGGGGAGAGTTCAGAGGAATGGTTCGAATTAATGCTGCTTTACAAGCTTATAGTACATCGCGACAAAATTTTCATCCCCACCATCCTGAAGAGGTAGTGGATTACCTTGCGATGTCGTCGCTTTTTACCACGTACGACAAAACTGTGGAATACCTTGTCACCAGCAGTGTTTCCGGACCAATACGACAAGAAAACCTTCAAAAAAAAAGAGCGTATACTCATAAAGGCCGGCATTGTATTGGTGATACTCCTGGTGGTGCAGGTATCTATGGGCGACGGTGAAGTTACTAACGAGGACGCCCCCCCCATGAAAAAGAATTTATTCCGTTTACTGTCTAGAGACCATCGACATATCTAGTGAAGTTAAAAAAACAGTTTAAATCACCGTTTTGAAAAAAAAAAACAGAACCGTTGGTTTTTTTCAAGGAAAAATATTCCTTGAAAAAAACCAACCAACCAAATGTCTGACTTTTGAAATGAAATGAAAAATGGACATTCTTCAAATGCGTTCTGCTTACTGCGTTCATAGTCCGGTCAATTTAGACAATTCAAATAACAAAAACCCCGACAGAGCCAAATATTGGTGGAGACCTTTGTTTTACCCTTATGAATAAAAATTTAAAAGTCCCCATCAATCCCATGCGAGCCTCAAAAGTTCTGAGGGGCCAAAGGTCAAAATTTTAGGTTTTATGACTTTTTCTCAAAAACGGTAAGTTTAATCAAAAAAATACCTCAGACTAAAATTGTAGATCTCAAATTCTCGACAAAAATGGTTCTTATAATATTTTCTCTAAGTATCACCGTTCCTGAGATATCGTGATTGTGAGAGTCACATACTACGTAATATGCACACATTTGTTACATGTATACATATTCAGGTTCTTAAGCAAGCAAAAATACTTATTTGTGTCTCTTTTATGAATAAACTATATACTATATTATGAATATACCATATTGAGAAAATATATAGTTAAAGTCAGTCCCTTATGTAGTGACGACTGCCAGTTTACGTTAGATAATGGTATTCTACTACCATTAGTAGAATTATTATTACAGAGAAGCCTGGAAAATTAACATTTATTTGTTTCATAGACAATTATCAAGACATTTTAAGTCAAAGTTAAAGTATGGACTTTAACTTCAACCGTACTTTTATAATTCTATTATCTAAAGCTACATTTTGACAAACATTCTTTAATTCAAGTCTGGTCTGATAATAAAAACTTGGATGAAAAAGACAAACGCTGGTCAACTTTGAAAGAAATTTGAAAGTCAGAACGGCAATTAAATTCAATAATAATAATCTTCCTTCAGTTAAATTCGTATTGTCTCTAAAAATTACATTATAACGGTTAGAGGAATACGCCGGGGAAACCACGTTAAAAATAACGCGCCGAGTACACTACCTCATAGGTGGTGAGGAAAAATGTGCATATTATGTAGTACGTGACTCTCACAATCACGATATTTCAGGAACGGTGATGCTTAGAGAAAAAATTATGAGAACCATTTTTGTAGAGAATTTTAAGATCTACAATTTTAGTTAAAGGTGTTTTTTTGATAAAACTTACCGTTTTTGAGAAAAAGTCAAAAAACCTAAAATTTTGACCTTTGGCCCCTCATAACTTTTGAAGCTCGCATGGGATTGATGGGGACTTTTAAATTTTTATTAATAATTTAAAACAAAGGTCTCCACCAATATTTGGCTCTGTCGGGGGTTTTGTTATTTGATCCCTATTTTCATGTCTAAATTGACCGGGCTATCATACCTACTTCAAATAAACAGAACGGAGTATCCGAAGATTTTCCCCTTGAATTCTGTACTCGTGATCATGCTGGTTTTTGATGTGTAACATCTTTCGTCTCGCTTTCCTGCAATTTGTGGGAGTGATTTCGTGAAATGGGTCGGAAGTGTGTAACAGGAAGTCGCGAAAGCGCACGCTATTCGATTTGATTTTAGAACATAATGTTAAAATGGCTTATTCCTTTTTTAGTAGGTTTTATTTCTTTTTTTACTAATATAAGGTGAGGCTTCAAATGTTACACATCATACGCGACTACTGTAAGGCTCGCTCGTTTTTTCGCACTCGTTTTTTTAGAAAATCATTGCATCTCTAGACATGCTTACAGACAGACGAAAGAGTGACAGCAATCGGGTTCCGTTTTTACCCTTTAAATACGGAATCCTAAAAAAAAATCCCGACGTATTGAAAACCTCCGTCGTTTTATCAGTCAGTTTAAGATATGTGCTTTCTTTTTCTAAAACTGGAACTTCAAAATCACTATTCATAATAATAATGATCTTTATTGTGTATAATAAATAATATTCGCGGTTGCATATTAGTCATCTACTACAAAATTTTGTCTTGTTTAGAGGACCAAGCACGAGCTTTTGACAGCTCCGTAAAGTATCATAATCGTCAACTTTTGTAAGAAAAAAGCTAGATTGTTCCAACGTCAGATAGGGGTGCTGCTTAGTTTTCATAGAAACTGGCGATGCTATACGTTACGGATCTGTCAAAAACTCGTGCGTGGGCCTTAGGGAGTTGATAGGAGTCGTCAAACCCGTAAGCGACATGATTCGTAATAAGTGTAATAACTCTCGAAAACTATATATGGCTCGGAAGTTAGATTAGAGTTCTTCTAGATTTGAGTGTCTCGTCATCCTTTTTGAATTAAAGGGCTACCTCACTTCTGCCCAATACTTTGGGCGTGGGTGATAAAGGCATTGAAAAGCGGAGTAACGGCGCGGCGTACCGCCCGCTTTTAGAAGTTCAATTTCATCACCGCCTCCGTTCGCACCGTCTTGTTATTTTTAAAGTTGTTTGAGGCATAATTTCAGCTTAATGTCTGTAATCTTGGCTGTGATTGTGTGTTGCCATTGCTTTCAAGTACTTGCATGCAGCATAAATTTGTCGAGAGGAGCTATCAATCTACCCTAAGATGTCAGCCTTTGAGGAAATTATGCTTCCTACTATTATCAATTTCAGATTCGTCAGTACATTGCTAAACAGATTTCTTGCGAAAACATTGGAGCATTTCCGCTCTACAGCTGGTTTAAAACGATTACAATTAAATTAGCGCAAGGCGCTTACCAGAGACAGAAATTGCCGATTTAGCTATACCGGCTTGCATTCCCTGACCGAACTCTAGTCTCATTTCGTTTAGCTGTTTTACGAGTTGGGAGTGCCTTGTCAGAGCAGGTCTTTCTGTTACGGTGGTTTTTGAAATATTTGGACCCTTTTTTTTGTGTCGGCGAAAGACTAGGTACCGTACGGGCAGTATTAAGCCTCGATGACACGGGACGAGTTACAAGCTAAAAGTCAGCGAGTTTGCTAGCAGCTTGTAATCTCGCCCCGTGTCATCGGCTTTTTTTCCATCTGCTACTCGATGATACGGGTATTTTTTTGTTGTTTTACAAGCTGCTAGCGAACTCGATGACTTGTTGCTTGTAAACTCGCCCCGTGTCATCACAACAATCAACAAAAGCTCTTACCCCGTCCCCCTCCCATGCTTACGTAAACATTGGTATATGCATGCATTTTTCTTATAATTAATTCATTGTTCTAATAAAGCGAATACCTAAAGCTAAACGTATTTACCACTTGTAGAAATCCCCTAAAATGCGTTTCTAAAATTCAAGCAAACACTGGTTGTTGCCATATGTGTTAAAAAGTAAATAATAGCTGCTGACTTAATCGCCGTATAGACTCCCACCCCTCGTGTGATCAACACTACTTTGTCTCTATTTAGTTGAATATGAAGAACATGTGAATACAACTAGCCATAAAACTTGCGAAGTACTAGCATCAAATTTAATTTATATTTTGTGTGGTATTATTTTCAGGTTTCATTGAATATTTATTAGATCGCAGTATTGACCACACAAAAGAATCGAAGGAACTAAAATATGATATTATTAGAAGACTCTCAAATTCAGCTGCATTTGATGCCAATATTATTACAAGACTCCAAACCTATGTAGAGAAAGGTCCATTTTATTCTGAAGATACGTTAGAAGTGGCAATGGAAGATGGCGACTAAAATTAAAGACTAGTTTCCTCACATATTTATGTATTGATGAATAAAATAAATTAAAATGTCAAGTTTAATTATGGTCAAAATTATTTTTTTACAAAGAATAAAGCCTCATATTAATTGTAAACAAATGTGTTGAGCAACAGTTGATGAATGTTTCTAGATAGGGACAATGGTACTAGAAATTATTCTTTAAACTTTTTAATAAGGTACCTATTTCAACTTGGTTTATAAACTTAAGAATGTTTATATTGTTCAACTATTTTTTTCTCTTACTTTTTGTAGACATCTCAGTCTTAGGAGTGCCTTTCCTTTTAGTTGCTTTTGAAGCCTTACCACCATATTTCGCAGCCAAGTCGTCAAGAAAAGTATCTATCTGCTGGGCTCTTGCTTGTTGCTTCTGTTTTATCATTAGTTCTAAACTATTTGCCCCTGAAAAAAATAAATATAATTATCATTTATAAGATTGTTTATTTGAAAGTAGAATTTTTGATATCTAGGTTCTACACAATTATAACAAACTTAAATATAACTTAAACAAAATAAAATTAACAAAACTTATTCAGTGTCATCATCTGATTTTGAAGAAAGTAGTAGTTCTTAAGATATTTGGAACTAGCTTCTAAATTGAAGAAAGTCATTGGCAAATAGTTGGGAGATTTCAACAAATGTACAACCCCACCGGGTTGTCTATTTGTTGAAATCTCACCAGTTTGGATTTATAGTTTTCCCCTCCTGCGATTAATAGTTTAATGCACTTTTGGCGAGTCTACTGAGGTAGGTCTGGCGCCCGAGTACTTTTTTAATTTTATTTCGACTTCTCCACTTTGTTATTAAACAAGTTTTGTCTTAACCTTTATATTTTTATATGTTTGTCAAAATGCATCCCAATCCCTGAACTGAAGCAATATTTTCTAGTTATTAATATTAATTACTGTACCTGAATCCAATCCTAATTCATTTTTCAATTCTTCAGCTTCATTTGCTTCACAGTTTTCTTTGGCAAGTCGACGTTGACGTTTCTTTGCCGGCTCATGAGTAAATATTTTATATGACGGTATCTCTTTTTTTTCTATCAATTCCTAAAATATCATAGTAGCAATATTAATATTAAATAAAAGCAATAGTCATAATCATTATGTTTTTTTGATTGATTTCATAAGGAAACCTAATATAAATATTTTAGTACAAGAAGCATTTACATGAATTACATGTACTTGGTGAATCCTATTGAAAAGTCCATATAACATCATCATAGCTATTAAATTTTACACAAATATGTATACAACTTCAAACATATCATGTAGCTGCAATATAAGGCTATTGAACAGAGAAAAATACAGCATTAAATGCTGACATTTCAAGAATTAAGTTAGAATAATAATGTTTAGAAGATTCTTGTTTTCAAGAGCTAAATGCTTTTGAATTTTTACATTGGTTAAATCCTGTAATGTGTTTTCATTATTTACAACAGTGCACATATCTTACATTAAGTATTTTTCTGATTCTAGGCTCATGTTCTGATCTAGCAAATTGGACCTGGTCACATATATAATCCATGTCTCCTTTGCCTGCAAGATATGCCTCTTTTAGATCGTTCCTTTCTTCCTCAGAACCTACAACAAATTACTTCAATTAAATCAGCTTTAAAAATTGTCAAAGTAAAATTTTAACATAAACCTCTTCTTTATTAAACAGCTACAAGGCACAGGTAGGTTATCATAACCTATTGCTATGGAAAAGCAACATTAAATTTAGTCAAACAATTCAAAGTTAAATTGCAAACTCTGATTTCTCTTGCTGCACTTACCAACATATTTTTTCTCATAAGCTTTTATGTCATCAATAGTAATTTTTTTGAAAAGCAGTCTCCAATAGTTAGTCCAATCTCTATCCACTATTACATTGTAATCATCATCGTCGACGCTTTTCGTTTCATCATACAGAGCTCTTTTGTTTTTATCGCTAAGGATTGCATGTATACTACCAAGTACTTTAAATTTCTCTGTAGCCTCGAGTTTTGCATTTTCTTCAACGCGATCTGGATGTACCTTTAGAGATAACTTGTGGTATGCTTTTTTCACTAAAACAACATCAAATCTTAATAAATTATCTAGACACTAAATGACATACACCTACAAAATCACAGTTGACTGTGAATTTGGTGGTACCTTCTTTGTCAGTAGCCTTTTCAGTTATATTTAATACTTCGTACAGATTGGTTGTTTTAAAATACTTTTCACATAAATCTAAAAGGCCCATTTTAATACTGTACTAAAAAACTAAAATTCCAATAAACAAATCGAATGGTTTCATTCATTCAGAGGTTTTACGCGCCAAATAGCCAGGTCGATTTGACATTGACAATTACGGTGTCAATATTTTTTTTGAGTATTTTGGATGTCAATATGATGTCAATATCATATTAGGCTACGTTCCAATCTGCACCTGGCTGCGTTCAATAACAAATGATCGCAGCGCGTTAAAAAAAGCCCTGTCTATGGTCTGTTTCAAATACGATGATATGTATAACACATCCATAGAACGTAAATGTTTGCGTTAAAGAAATTTTGACTTCGATAAAAATACAAATTTTAATAATAAAGAAATAAATCAATGCTTTTATTATGTATGAAAAATTGAACCGACAATTTATAATCGAAGTTCACAATTTAGAAAATAAACACATTACTATTTATTAAATTAACAAACACAAAAAATACGGGGCGGTGACGATATTGTGTCGTGGTCGTAATTTTAAGTAATTATACTTAATAAATAAAACTAGTTATTTACGGGTTAACGCACGAAACTTTATTTATTTATTGACGTTTTACAGGCTACGTCGTCGGAATCAAATTTTTATTTAATTTTGTCGAGCTACCTTCGAAAGATTTTTATTGAGCGTTCGGTTATTTCATTGTTCAATTTTTAAAGTTTTAGTAGTGTCAATTCTGGCATGATTCTCTAAACTTAAAACTAAATTTAACATCAGTCTATCCTTTTCATTCTGTGTAAAGAATGACAAAGTTACACTGTTGTCATATTTAAATTTAGATTTAGTGAATCATGCTAGAATCGACACCATTGTCTATGTATGAATTTATTACTTACAGTTTGTCTATAAAGTCGTGACGTGACATCAAAGAGTACTTTTTATATACGGAAACGTGACATTAATGTTTATGGAACTAACATTTTTCATGTGTCTGGTAACACCAAACTTATGTACATCAGCTGTCATTGAGTTTCAGTTGTGGAACAGTTTTCCTTTTGTATTTTTTATTGTTTGGATTAAACTGTAATAAATAAAGACAAAACTACGCAGAAAGGTATAAAAATAAGTAAAGTAAATCGGAGTGGCACGCGGGAAGTGATTTTTAAAGTTTTTCAGCGATGTTTCGAAGACTACCAAGCTGGACGAATTTTGTGGGATTTGGACGATGTTTATGGGCGAACAGCATCTATGACGGGTATGTAATCGTGTAACTATTTGTTTGTAATCTGCCTGAAGTTACAAATTTACTCAATTTACGATTTTGAGACCAAAAAAGGCATTGTTTACATTGCACATTTTTAGGTTTTTTTTTTTTTTTTTTTTAAATATGTATCGTAATATTAATCTTTATCCAAATTTTTTTTATTGTTTAAATTTGGTTTTAATAATATACACATATGCCAATTATAATTGGTAATTGAACCTAAAACTAAAAACTTTTAGGTTAGATTGAATAAAAAATAAAATAGGTAATATTGTAGTACGACCATTTCTTTTGATACGTTATTATGGTTCAACTCGGTCAGGTTTCTACCAATTTTGAATTAATTGCTTCATGTCAATAAGTTATTGTTTCTATTCCGTTACATATTTTTTTACTTTTTTTCAGGAATATCAGAGAGTCGGATAGTCAACGAAGGTTTTAAGAATGATGGAAAGTTTGAAACTCCTGGGAAAACAGGCAAGGCCGACTAAAGAAAGAAATGGTCACATAAAGAACCATGGCCAGATGCTTTTAGTGAAGATACCTATCACTAATTTTACTAACTGCACATTTACAAATTGATTCTCTAAATAAACTTTAAAAATAAAATGAGTTTTAGTATTATTTTCTTAACAAGTGTGTTAAAAAACGTCGTATGATGATACTTGTGTGTATTGATGATTACCTAACGGCTCTGGTCTCAATGGCACCTCAGCGGTAATCACCAACATTACACACTTTTACACTATAAAGTACTATTTTATCTATAATAATATTATTCTGATACAATTAAATATGCTTGGCTAAACTTTTTATAAGCATAGGTACCTACTATATATAAAATAGAAACAAAATACGACTGTATAGTGTGTCTTATTAATTACCTATTGTACTTGAATGAACTGCTAGTATCAAAATCATTTTGGTCCGACTGTATAGGGTTGCTACATGCATACTAGGGGCGCCATTAGTTAATAAAGTATTGTATTTAAAATTCTTTTTCGTAATTTTGAGTTCATTTGTTTGACCCTTATTACCGTAAAATACCACCGGTTCCAAAAATCGGAGACCTTTCTGAGAAGAACCGACGAAACAAACTCAAGAGAGGCTTTCTATCTCCTTCTTATGTTAAATTATGCAAACAAAAAGAACTAATAGTATCTGTTGGACTTGCAGTGTGTGCTCGGGGTTGGGATTTTATCTCCTGTATAATGGGTTCCCAAGCTGGTGGTATATACCAACCATCTTCCCTATTGAAATTTGGATATTTTTTAATCTCAATAGCCTCGCGCATCATTCTAGGAATGAATCGTTGCTCAGATGCAAGGATCTGTGGTTTATCAAATCTAATGTAATGGTTTGGTCCCCCTAATGCATGTTCACACACTGCAGACTACAAACATGCATTAGTCATATCGTCGCTGTAAAGTAAAAAGTCACCAAATCGACATTTGACCCAAATTTAGTTAGAAATGCCACCAACAGCACCAAAGCCTCGCAATATTACCTCTATAACTTTTTGCTTGTTATTTGGGTAAGGGCGAATCTTGAGATTCGAATTATTCAGTTGATTTCCTTGGCGCAATTTATTTTTATACTTTTTTTTACAAGTAATAAGGAAACATTAAATTTTACTTTAATATTAGCATAATTATCAAATAGGCATCGCTTTTGACCGAATGGTTCCGAAGATAAATTAAGTTACATTTTGTGTCAAGAAAACAAAATCATAGAAACGACATAAAAAAATAAGATTTAGTAAAATTTCTGTCGAGCACCTAATGCTTTTTGTATAACAGTTTATTTTTTAGTATATTTCGATATGCTATAAAAACGTGTTGATAAGTATATTTATAAGAAACTAGCTGACCCAGCGAACTTCGTACCGCCCTAAAAAAATAGGGGTTGTCCAGCGGACAAAATTGTGAATCTAAACCATTCTCAGATCCCTTGAACACACACAAAAAATTTCATCAAAATCGGTTCAGTCGTTTAAGAGAAGTTCAGTGACATTCACACTCAAAAGATAATACGAGTTAACACAAAACAAATTAGGAAACTTTGATTACCTTGGTGAAATACCAAGGGGATCAACACCAATGGAATAAAAATAGTAGTCATTTATATGAATTATGCTAAAAGTAATATTTATTTTACATATTAAATATATAAATAAATGCGTTGTGTTAACATCAAACAAAAAATCCCAAAACTTATTATGTTTACGTTGGGTAATCAACGATCTCGTGAAACGATTACCTTCGTAATTTTGTTGTGGACTAACGAGCAGCACAGCACACCCCAGCAATGTGTGAAGCACTACTAGAGCTCACGCAACAGAGAGGAAGCACTCCTCTAGAACATTTTACAAGGGTACATTATAGTCTACGCGAAGTATTGTGACGCGTCAGTGGATTATCGTTTAGCCCCGGACAGACTTTATATTCTTATTCTAAATAAAACTATGAGAAATACATACACTATACAGGGCGTCCCACGGCAACCTCACACGGAGGGAAAGTATATTAATGATTAACCTATTTAAACTATTGATTTAAATGATTAACCCTTTCGATGGTAATCAAAAAATATGCCGTTTTTTTTTGAAATTTCATGAGTGAGATTCCCAGTTGTAACAGGCGATAAAAAAAACTGTGAATGCAGTTCTAGTCAGTATTAAAAATAAAATGATGTTTTCTTTCAGTAAAATGTCCTATCTTCAATATTTAATATACTTTTCATCCCACCACCTCGGAAAGTGTAATTTTGCGCTTCGAAATCTGGCTGGAAAATTCTATTTTATTCGCTTGAGCGGCAAAGTAGATTTGAATTTAGAACATCACATATAATGAGTACTCAATATAATTGTAAATTCAAAACGTCATTAAACCTATTTAATGTAACCTCTATGGTGCCAAATTTATGATTAGAACTTTTTAAATTGTGAAAAAAATTAAATTTGGAACCTTCTTGGTTTCTTTGTTTTATTTGCGTGCTTCGCGCCATTCTAGTTTTTCACGTTTTATTGCTTAATATAATTAACATAACCTAAAAACTGTACAAAAAAATCAACTAAAATGAGTGACATTAGCGACGATGAAGTTTATCTAACGCCAACTGAGTTAACTGAAACAGTTAATAATGCGCAAATGAGCCTTCTCCCTCAGCAATCACGAGAGAAGTATTTGAAACAGTACGATATATTTAACATGTGGCGACTAGCTAAAGGAGCAAAAACTTTCTCCGAAAACGTTTTGCTGGCATATTTTATAGAATTATCTGAGACCAAGAAAGCAAGCACGCTATGGAGTACGTATTCAATGCTAAAATTAACAATTAAGATGAAGAAAGACGTTCATATCGACACCTATCATAAATTAGTGGCATTTTTAAAAAGAGCCTCATCTGGTTATAAACCAAAAAAATCGAAGGTTTTCACAGCATCTGAAATTGCAAAGTTTATTAATGAAGCACCTGATTCCGTATATTTAGCGGCAAAAGTAAGTCAATACGTGTAATTTTTTGTTGTTGATAAAATTGTACATAGTACTTACAATATTTTTAATTTGATTAATTTATTTACGATTATAAATACTTCTTTTGTTACAGGTTGTTCTTATTATTGGTATAACCGGAGCATGTCGAACAAATGAACTTACACTACTTAATGTCAATAACGTATCAAAATATTCTCATAATTCTGATGAATTGCTATTAATTAATGTACTAAATACCAAGACAAAATAAGACCGCAACTTCGTTATTCGCAAGGAATATGTAAACATTGTTCAGAAATATCAAGCTTTACGTCCTTCTAACACCCCAATTGAACGATTTTTTCTACAATATCGCAACGGAAAGTGTATCCGACAACCTATGGGTCAGAATAAAATTGGCAGTATTCCACGAGAAATAGCAACTTTTCTCGGACTTTTAGAACCCCCGTTATACACCGGTCACTGTTTTAGAAGAACCTCAGCCACACTTTTGGCCGAATCAGGGGCTGATCTTCTATCGCTTAAGCGCCATGGAGGCTGGAAGTCTAATTCGGTTGTAGAGGGATACATAGAGGATTCAATCCAAAGTAAATCAAAAATTTGTAATAGTATCGTGGAGGCCATAACGCTGAAAGAACCTCTGTCAGATTCTTGGTCTCGCCCTTCTACATCTAAAATGAGCCCCCATAAGATTGGAAACAATAGCCCTCTCTCGCCAACATTTACGCCAATAGAATCCAATGAATCGGCACAACTATTTAAAATTACTGATACGAGTAGTTTACCACAAAACAGCGCACAATTCACAAACACCAACATAACATTACCTAACAAAAATATTAAACTTAACATAAGTAACTGTAGCAACGTTACATTTAATATTTCTTAATTATTTTCTACTTCTTATTATTTTCTTCAATTTATAGATTATCTTAATGTGTTTTAATTGAAATAAAAATATTTTGTCATTATAAATTGTTTTCTTTTTCATTTTGTCATTTCCTCGCTGAGGTGGGATGAAAAGTTACGTATTGCACTCGAGTGGAAAGATTTTTCACCTTGTGCTCGTTTGTTTCCCTCGCTGACGCTCAGGATTCTAATTTAGAATCACTCGCTGCGCTCGTGATTCAACTTTAGAATCCTTCGCTTGCTCGGTCATCCAAATCGAGCACGCGGTTAAAAAGGAACTTTCCACTCTTGTATAATAAATAACTATTCCCTCCGTGTGAGGTCGCCGTGGGACGCCCTGTATATTTTTTTCATAAATCAACAACTTATATGCTATAGCTTAAACCGCATTTTATGTTTAATTTCCGTTAATAAATGGTGTTTTGCGTGTAGTTTCTCAAATGTGAAGCGAACGAGAATATTAGCCATTTAGGATATTTTTCTACTATTTCTACCTAAATAAGACACAATAATTATCGTGCCTAAGTTAGATCATACATTTATAATGTATACACATAAAAAATATTTAGAATCCTCATTTTTTTAATATTACGGGTACTTTTTTCCTCGGGACCAATGTTATTAAATACCCTAGATACACCAACACGAACAAAATCGTGCCCGAAACCTGTCCAAAAGTCCGTGGATCGTTAAATGTACTCGTTCGATCGTTAAGCTTACTTTTTAGCTCTGTAAGATGATCGCGTAGTCTAAATCAATATACCTAAGGCATTATTTAAATATTGAAAGTAACCTTTAATCATACTATATAAAGGTCTTAAATAAAACGCATGCGTCAAGGACTTCTGACAGTTCGAAATGCAAGCTCTTAAATTTTACAACTTATTGCTATATGCAGAAGAATTTAGATCTTAGGTCTTTGACTCTACGCGAAATTCTGAACATGCTATTAGCAATATAGTAGGCACGGACCGCGAGGAAAAGAGACGGCTATATGGCGACATATAACCGACCATGCATTTCAATATCACAAATATTTTATATTAAATCAGTTTATAGTAAGTATTAGATCTCAAATTTACTTCAAATGCGTTAAATTAACAAACATTGACTAGATTCCTGTCGAAAAAACGACACTTTTCGTACTCTAAGTATTATTTTCGCATTTTTTCGCGGAGCTCTGTGGCATCTTGACTTTATAACGGTCCGCGCGACTGTGAACCAAGAAGTGCTTGAGTGGAGTTCAAGCACTTGTTAAATCTATAAGAGCTAGAACACACTTGCAATTAATTGCAGTGCGATAGTTGTGCGAACCTGAAGAAAGTATAGACACATATTTGTATGTGCGCCCACACTTGCGATAGTTGCATAAGTCATAACCGCATAGTTCGTGAAACTATTTTAATTCATTACATACTTTATTATCAAGTCTGTGAAAAAGGTAAGTAGGTATAACAATTTAGTTGATTACGTGAAAAACCTGTATTATTCATAAACATAGTATAGTTAATTATATTTAGTGACACATAATATATTATCCATATTTTTTTTTTAAGATATATTTGGTGTATTATTATATAATTATTTAAATTGCATAAAGTTGTAACAATGAACCTAAAACTAAAAACCTTAAACCTTATCTTTATTATCTGCTGGTCACTTATGTTTTTTATTATTAAAAATTATGTCAAACAATATTTGTCATATTTTGACAATTTATGTTGCTCTTTAGGAGTTCACACTTTTCTGAGTTTTTATTGGACATATTTATGTAAGAAATGGATTCAGGATTAGGTGATAATCACAAATCTCCACGATTTAAGGATGAGAATAAAGAAGAAATTCATTACAGAGAAATTAATGAAACATTTGAACCACCCAAAGAAGAGCAGACAGAGTGCTCTTTAAATGATAATTTGGTAACTCCGGAGATGATTGAAGATAACGAAATGAAGTTGAAAGAGAGAATAGCACAATGTCGAAATGTTATAGAGTCTTTGAAACTTGAACTAAACAAAGAAAAATCTAAATTAGAAAAGGAAACTAAAAATTCTCAGGGAACTCCAATGTCTCAATATAACGCCACAACTCAGCAAGACAAGATAAACACAGAGTTTATGTTAAGCGATATGTTCTCTTCTAACATGTACAGTGCTAGTGTTGACAATAGGCTTAATTACGACGAAAGCCTTGTTGAATACGAAAAACAACTACAGAGATATCAAAATACTTTAAACATGGCCCAAATGGAGAAAAAAAACGCTATTAGAAAACAGATGCTTGCAAAAGCGTTCAGACTAAAACTACTAGAGGTAGAAAATCAATGCAATATTGAATTGCTTCGGGTGAAGCAGAGCTTACAATGCTTAGAACCGTTGCAAATGATCGCTAATAAATGGAAAACTTCTACTAATGAAGCCACTAACGATGAAAATAATTTCGAGTTAATGCCAAGATTTCCCGAATTGAACGCTATCTCTGGAAGTGATTTATTGGATGCATCCAAAGACGATTATGATACAAAAGCTTCTCTTGAGAACTTAGGAAATTGTGGAGCGGAACAATCCTTCCTTGAATAATACATTTAAAAGTGACGCTTGCCTTTTGATTTCTATGAGAACATAAATATTATATTTAGAAAAATCTTTTATTTTAAATTTTACTTAGGCGTTAATTCAATTTAATCCTTGTTGTCTTCAAAGTGAACAACGTGTAGGTAGGTTCTTAGGTATTACATGAGGTGCCGGCGAACAAAACGGAATAATTACATAAAATTAAATTTAACAGTAGCAGTAAAAACAGAATGACGTATTTTTATAGAGATATAAGAATAGAGTAGGGGAGATATGTACTCTACTACAAGTGGAAGTGTCCGTCCAGTAGAAAGAGAAAGAAGAGACGGCTAGCTATCTCTTTCTACTAGACGGACACTTTTAGAGTCGCCTTTCTCTCAAACTTCATATGGATAAATAAAAAACTCGTAAATATGCATAGAGGTATAAGAATAGAGTGGCTATTCTTATACCTCTATGCATATTTACGAGTTTTTTATTTATCCATATGAAGTTTGAGACTTGATTTGACATAATCAAGATTGCTATGTCTAATAAAACGCAAGATTATGCCGTTTTGTTTGCAATCGGTTGCAATTATTACCTCTATTTTGGGCTTCATCAGTGCTTTTGGCTTCCCCGCCTCCAGCCTCTCTTTATCCCTACATTTCGGGATCGGGACATTGTTCCTCCTTTTCAGTGTTGGTGTTTGTTCGGGCTCCCCCTCTGACCGGGGCCTGCTTTGGAACCTGCGCCTTTCCCCTTTGGTTTACCCCCTTTTTTGGTCCCCGTTTTTCATTAACTTGAACCGTTCTCAAAGTTACCGCCATCTCTACAGCTCCTGCCTGGAATTCCGTTGTAGTCCCCGACTTGCACCGGTTCGCCGCTAATGGCTGAAGAAGAAAGAGTGCTGACCATCTCCCATATGGAAATCATAAGAGAACATTTCAGCTCCTCGGTGGCTTCTTTCGTTATCGTCAGGTGCTTGCTCTGTAGCAGTAGGCATCTCTTTTATTTGTTTGCGACCTCCGCGAACAGCACCGCCATCTCTGCTTTCAGGGTCAGGTACTCGTTATGGATCTCCTCTGCATCACCATATTTATACGTGAACGCCAAAAGTATATACCGTAGCAGGTCTACAAAATATTGTGCCGGCTCCGTTCCCAACTCCTTGCCCTCAGCCTCACTGGCAACTCTAAGGCATAGGACGCCAACTTCCCCCTCAAGTAACGCCTCGGTAATCCATTTAACACTGCGGGACTCGGTAATTTCGCAGCGCCGGTGGCCAGCCGGAGCGCATAAGCCGCTAGTAGCCAACTTCTCACTCTGGGGCCCAGCTACCTAAGAGCGCCCGGCATCAACGGGAGCGCATGACAAACTTACGATGTTCTCCTTTCCGGGCAGGGGGACCCCCTATCTAGCCGCCTCAAAAGGATTATTGTATAGATTTTCTCCTCGCAACCCCACCCCGCGTTCCTCTGCCCCACAATACGTGCAGGGTTAAGGGTCGGCTGGAAGTGGCGCAAAGTTTGCGCTACAACCGACCTTGCCAGAGCAGACGTTTCTGCCCCTCCAACAGTCTCGAATGCTACCCAGGCTACCCGTGACGCCAGCTGAGACTCACCAAGGTGATTTTTTACATAGGTTTTTTTCCGCGGGTCCCACCCTACGTACTGGGTTATGAGCTCCCTCAGGGTAGCGAACTGCCCCCTACCTCTGGGTACAGTATGTATGCCTGAGCGCTGGGTGCTCTCCGCCCTCTATCTCGAAAAGGGTTGAGCGTATAGAAAAAAAGTTGAGACAAAAGTGTTGGGAATTTTTTTATCTTTAATTTTTATAATAGGTGTTGAAGTGATTGGAACTAAAGAAACGGAGATAATTGCAAAAAAACGATTTTCGTGAACTTTGACATTGGATAACATATGAAGCAGACACGAGATAATATGACACTTTTGAGACAACTTTTAGAACGCCGAAATGAAGCTGTACACGAGTTTCCAGCTTATTATCTCAAATTACGAGATTGAGCCCTTTTTTCCCTAAAGTGACTGATAGTCCATATTACTGAGAGGTCTCACAACGTGATCTAAGACTGTATCTTGTTTAAATAGCCCGGATAGCGAAGGGTGCGGGTTTGAGTCCCGTTTCGTACATTTAGAGAGAGACACACACACACATGTATGTAAAAAGTTCTATGAGGCTTCTCCGAAAAATGCACTTTTTTTTTGTATATTTCACAATTTCACGTTGAAACTTTAGATTTTGGTGTTCGGCGAAGAAGAATCAACTGTTAACAAATTATTAGTTCGTCGTTAGTGTGGGTTTAGTCCGATATCAATAGACCCATACAAAAAATAATACCAAAACCAGTTTTTTTTTGGTTTTTTTATAGGCTACGTTTTTACTCTGCATGATCTTTGTTCATAAAATAATTATTTTCAGAGTTATTAAACAAAAACCGTTTGATAACGTAATTTTTGCTGAAAATATGACGTTTCCACTCTCGAATAAGTTGGAAAGTAATGACTTCAGTAAAACCTCTATAGCACCACAGTTGCTTAGAGTTAGTCAATCTTTTAATACCCATATTTAATTTAAAAAAAAACAGCCCCAAGGGGTGGCTTCCAGGATAATAGCAGCCCTCGCCACATTGATAACGTTGACATATAGGGTAAGTCGAACCCATATCCAAATTTTGCTACTAAGTTTTGCTTTTTGGCAAAATTGACAGGTTTAACCGTTTTTTCCGTGCATTGACTGGATAATTTAGGGAATTGGAGATAATATCAATTGAAAATATATACATGTAATTCAAATAAGGCTTAAATATTTTACATATACTTATACTCTATTACTTTTGGATTGTGCCTGCGGTCTACCAAAGGGAGAACAATCATTCATCTACGTGCTCAGGTATAATAAATTTTAAAGAAATCAGACACAATCGGAATAGGCACAATAATAGATGTAGGTATATAATTTTAAAAGGACTAATAATAAAATATATATTAAAAGTTTCTATCAAAAACACAAATCATTTATAACAATTTTATTTATCATTTTTCTACAATTTATGGTCATACAGAACGTTATAATTTGCAGGGTGCATTATGTGCAAATCTTCATACAATTATCAAGTTCAGTAAACATTATCACCACTTGAGTTTACAAAACAGCTTTAATCGATTTTTCGCATAAAATATTCCGAACCATATAATATATACCAGCAATCGCACGCTGTGTGTTTCGCAACTAACGATCTGTATGCAAAATATTCAATTAGCAGAAAATGGTGCGAACATTTTGATTTTAATAAATCAAAAAGCGAGAAGGACCTCCAAAGTGGACCACACACATCGCGGCACGCGCTTCGAATGCTAGTGACTTTTTGTTTTGCCGCCGAGTGTAGATTGCGCTCGTTCGGCAACCGTCGGCACCCGGTCGGGCGAGAGGGTTTGCCTGACGTCACGCGCGTCTGCCTGCGCTGCGCCCGGTCAGTTAGGAACTTGAACTTTATTTTAATAAGATTCCAATTTGTCAATTAGAGGGCAGTGCATGAAGGAAACTGGTTTGACTTCTTTACACCTCGTGTCTTTAGGAGATGAGCTTTAAAAAGTATTTATGTGAAGGCTATGCATTGCATATCTTTATTCAGTAAGTATGAAAAATTATTGTTTACATATTTGAAGTCTCTTAATAGGTACTTTTTGAAAGGAGAAATATTCAATCGATCCTATTTCCTATTGATACAAGGTAAAAATGTTACCAACTTTCAAATTCCGTAATATGAAATGATTTAAAAAATCACTTAGAAATAAGCTTCTCAAATAATGGAAAAGTAAAGCCAAATAAATCGCAGCCTAAAACTACATTCGGATCATAATTGAATTTTACTGATTAAATATTCAATAAATCTAGAGAAAAAGAAATGCATTGTGTTCTTATTAAGTTTTATTTTAAGCATTAAGCTGCTAGATTTTTATATCTTAATATTATTTAATTTCAAAAATGTTTTTATATTTAGTCGTTGGTATTGAAACATTAAGTTGACTAAGACTAAATAGTTATGTAGGTAGGTACCTATTTACCTAGTTGTTAAAACAAAAGTATTAATATATGTAAGAGATTAGTTAACCTAGTGTTAAATATTTTGAAACGGTAAATTCAATATTTTTGGATATCTACATAGTCTACAAGTCACCCGCTGACATATGTTTCGCACAAAAGGGAAGGAAGAGATCTCTATTAGAAATGAGCTCTTCTTTGCTTACATTTTTTATGCATTATCTCTTACCATTTTTCTTGTGTGCAATAAAGAGTTATTATTTATTAATCAACTTAATGACATTCTAAGTAATTGTTATACATTAAAAGCTTTCCGCCCACGGTTTCGCTTCCGTGAACTACAAGCGTCATCGCCGGCTTAATCTTTATGGGAATGAAAATGTATTTATACTCTACTACTTTTTTTTTTTTTTAAAAAGAAAATATAGCTAGAAAAAAATCCACGGGGACCAGGCAGCAGACGGGACTCGAACCCTTCCGCTATCTGACCAATTATGCTACCGTAGCCCTGATGGCCGGATGAATTCTTCTAGCCATTCTTAAGCTGCAAGGCAGCGCCATGTAGGTATGTACGCCTCTTCGCATTGTAGGTAACCCACAATGTCAAATGAATACTTTTACAAGTATTAAATATTTGAATGAAGAAGTAGCAATTATAGTTATAATTTTAAACCCGCACCCTTCGCTATCCGGGCTAATGCACTGACAAATTATGCTACAGCGGCTCTGATAGCAAAGGGTGCGGGTTCGAGTCCCGTCTGCTGTCTGGTCCGCGTGGATTTTTTTCTAGTTATATTTTCTTTAGATTTAAACATCAAGCAGTTACATGCTTAGAAAATGAAAATTATAAGTTTTTATTATGTTTTATTGTATCCTTCTAAATTGATGACGTTAATACCGAAATGTAGTTTTATTTTACTATGGTCCTTCCTTTAAGGCGGAGGTCCAAGAAAATCTCCTTTGATTCCACCTCTATGATATCGAAAGTCAATCTCTAGAATTCACAAAAAGCTTAATTTTAAGGAA